CCCTGGCCATGGGCACCCATGGCCTGCTGCCCCCGATGGCAGCACGGCCCCCCACACAGAAGCCCCGGGAAGGAAGAATCCCATCCAGCCTCTGGAGACTGTGGGACAGGTGAGAGGCCAAGGGAGTTGTGGTACAGGGGGACTGGAGTTCCCTTTGACGGAGTGCAGGGGTGAATGACTATAGAGGAGAGGGGCAAGAAGGGAGAATCATCCGTAAAGAAGTGGCCTGAGCAGACAGTGGCTTTATTTATAGTGTTGACATTTTGTCTAGTGTAAATTTGTTTGTATTGATTTTTCTTTCTTAATATTGTATTAAAGTATTATTTATCTCAATGACTGGGTTTTTTTGGTGCCCCTTAAGTTTTGTGCCCAAGACTGGTGCCTCACTTGCCTCGCCCTGGACCTCTGAGCAGGGAGAAACAGGGCAGCAGGGGCAGGACGTACCCAGAACACACTAATCACTTTAGGGGCAGCAGCCCCACAAGGCAGGTCCTGCCATCATCCCCATCTTACAGACAGGGATACAGGTCCGGAAAGGTGAGGCAACCTGCCCAAGTTCACACAATACATGGGCACGGTCCCAGGACTGTGGAAATCCGGGACTGAACAGGCACCAGCATGTCCTGTGTTTTAAGAAAATGGTGCAAGAGAAGGGACAGTTTACAAGGCGTCCAGAGAAGGAAGCAAGGGTTTGGCTTGGTGTCCCCCAAGGAGGCCAACTCCTCAACTAAATTCCTGAGTGTTTAACTGGGGCCAAGCCTGAACCAAGCAGGGTCATGTCCAGGCATTGGGCAGACCCATGGGCCATTTTAGGAACAGTAAGATGGGAGCGGGGGATGCCCGAGCTGGTCTTACAGATCCAGGGTGCTGACACATGACGGGGCACTCCAGGCAGAGGGAATGGTGGGGGGTCCAAGGAGGGGAGTGAGGTGCACAGGCCCACAGGGAGCTTCCAGAGCCGGGGAGAGCGGGGTGCAGACCGCTGGGGTCTTGTACACCTCATCCTTTATCCTGGGGTCCAGGAGGAGTCACTGAAGGATTTAAGCGGGGAGCTGTCAGAGTCAGGTTCGTGTTTCGAAAAAATGGCCCCAGATCAGAAACCAGTGTGAGGCCAGACTAGAGGATGGAGAAGGGGCAGTGGAAAGGCGATGGGGAGGGGGTGCTGGTCCATGGTGACCAGGTACCAATATCTCCTATGGAATTGGCAAGTGAATGTAAAGAGACGTTATCATGATGGGGAGGAACGGGCATAGTCATGAACTGTCTATAAAAGACTAAAATGTACACCCTTTTTATCAATATGCAATGAGTCATAAAAGAAAGCGTATTTCTTTAAATTGTGTAATTCCACTTCTAGGAATTCATCCTGAGTAGAGGGTGGGGGGAAACAACCAAAGATGTAACCAAAAGTTTACAAGCAAGAAACTCAACATTATTAAAGATGGGAGAAAACTGGAAATAACCTAAATATCCAGCAGAAAGGGTGTGACAAAATACAGCATGGAATATCCATCATAAGGAATCTTACACAAACCTCCAAAATTGTATTTCTGAAATTGGGTTTTTAAAGTATGTGTGCATTTTCAAAAGCCTGTCAGAAAATGTAGAAAAATGTCAATGGTGTGTCTCTGGCACGTGGGATTTCATCTAGTTTCAATTTTTTACTTTATAATTTTCTGTAGTTATGAAAATGTTCACAAGAAGATATATTTCATTTTTATCTTCAAAAATAATTTTTAATACCAGAGTAATATGTGTTTTAAAAAAAGATTAAGCACAGAAGTATATTAGCCTGCAAATAGCTTTTTCAACAGTCTGTTGAGATTTTCTATATCAGCCATTATGGATCCCCCATGTTCTCCACACAGCTTTGTAAGACTTCAAAGTTTGGATGAAGCAGCATGCCTTTAATGATTCCCCTGTTAATGAACATTTAGGTTGTTTCCACTTAAAAATGTAAATTACAAGAGGTGCTACATGGAGACCCCCAACGTGTGTAGCTGTGTATCCATACTAAGTACACTGTGTATCTCCATGGGATAGATGCCTAAAAGTGGGATTGCTGGATCAGAGAGAACAAGCTTTGAAATTTTCAGAGGAGATGCCAGTGGTCCTCCCAAAAGTCTGTTCCAACTTACTCTCACCACAGTGAATGACAGTGCCTTTCCCTCTCCATTGTTGCCAATAATGTGACAGGGTGGATCTTTTTTTATTTTGCATGTCTGATGAGCAAAAATGAGAACAAATGTGTTTGTTGTTTGTTTATTTGATCGTTGGTGAAACTTATTTTTCTTTCATATTTTTACTGACTGATTTTATGTCTTCTGTGAATTCACCAGTCATAATTTTGCCTGGTTTATTTTTCATTCGTTTGGTTGTATTTTCTTAAAGATCTATAAGAAACTCTCCATCTATTTGGGATAGTAACCCCTTATTAAGTATGTACATTGTAAATATTTTTCCCTGATCTGTTTTACACCTTTTGTTTGTGGGGTCTTTCACCATAAAACCTTTTTAATTTTTACATGTCAGATTGGTGGTTTTTCTTTACAGTGTCTGTGATCTGTGGCAAACATAGGGAAGGCATATTCATTTCTATTTTTTTTCTATTTTATTCAGGTACTTTCATTGTTTTGGTGTTTGTTTTTACTTCACCTGGAGTTTATTTTTGTGTAGGTAGGAATATAACGTTATATATTTTCCAAATGGAGAGCCAATCATCATGTATTTGTTGAATACAAACATAGCTTTTATCCAATACTGAATTATGGATTTATCACATCCTCTCTGTAGTTCTGTTGATCTAATGATCAATTCCCACATCCTTTCCACCCTGTTTTAATTATTGTAATTGTTTCTGTACCTGGTAGAGAAAAACCCTGTCGTTATTATTCTCATTCAGAATATTTGTGTCTCTTCTCCATCATTATTCTTACTGTTGGACTTCAGAATCGGTTCACTAATTTTCAAAAATTATTCCTTTGATGTTGTGCTTGTAATTTCATGAAGTATATGGATTCATTTGAGGGGAATTGATGTCTTTGCTGTTGTGTCCATTAGTCAAGTTGTGTTATATTTTATCCATGCAAATCTTGCACATTTTGTGTTAAGTTTATTCCTAGGGCTTTTAATAGAATTTTTATTGAGGTTTTCAGTGTTTCCCAAATTTCATCTCCTCAATAGTTACCTATTGCTCTTGTGTTCAATCATTTTGGTTAATTCTTATATTAGTTCTAATAGTCCTTCAGCTGATTGTCTTGGGTTTTGTTTTGTTTGTTTGTTTGTTTTTTGAAGTAAACTAGCCCATCATTTGCAAAGAACAATTTTATCTCA